ACCTGGAGAACCCTAGGAGACCTGGAGAACCTTAGGAGACTTGGAGAACCCTAGGGGACCTGGAGAACACTAGGAGAGAAGCAGATAGTCTGGGGAGAAGCTGACAGTCTGGGGAGAAAGTGACGGTCTGGGGAGAAGCTGATAGTCTGAGATTCTGACAGTACGGAAAGTAACTGGCAGCCTCGAAAGTAAAACTGACAAAATGAACAAAAAAGAACACTGCTGACGGCGCTGACAGCCTAGTACCTTGAGACCCAACTCAGAGTAAGGGACAAGTGACATCTCCAGCCCTGAGACCCCACACCTCCCAGCATTTAAAGCAGGTCAGTCCATGAAGGCTTTCCTCTCCCTTCTTCTTCCTCCTCTTTCTTATCTTCCTATTCCTCCTCCTCCTCCCCCTTCTTTACCTCCTCTTTCTTATCTTCTTCCTCTTCCTCCTCCTCCTCTTCTACCTTTCTTTCCCCTCTATCTGGCTGTGTGAAAGCCCCCGAGACCTGAAAATCCAGGACCCTGACACTCCAAGGTACTGACACTTCAAGACGCTGACACTTCAAAGCCCTGACACTTCAAAGCCCTGACACCCCAAGGTGCTGCCACTCCAAGACCCTGACACTCCAAAGCCCTGACACTGAAAGACGCTAACACTTCAAGACCCTGACACCCCAAGGTGATGACACTTGAAGACCCTGGCACTCCAAGACCCTGACACTCCAAGACCCTGACATAAGAATGGAGGAAACTACAGCGGGCCTATTGACCCATACTAGGCAGCCCCGTTTACACCCAACTCCTATCGTCCAACCTATGTTTGAAGCTATCCAGCGTGTTCTTGATGATGTTTGGTAACTTGTTCCTCTCATCCACTTCTCTATGTCCAAAAGTGTTTACCTATCTCGCGCCTAAATCTAAATTTGTCTGATTTAAACCCAATGCTACGAGTTCGCCCCTCACTCTACGTCTCTATAGGGAGTGCAAATTTAGATGCTTTAACCTGTCTCTGTACTCAAGGTTCCTAATGCCCGGGATAAGTCTTGTCATTCTCCTCTGAATGCTTTGTAGGGATTCTATATCCATTCTGTAGTACGGAGACCAGAACTGGACTGCGTAATCCAAGTGAGGTCTCACAAGCGCAGGATAAAGTTTTAGGATAACCTCGCTATTCTTGTAACTAGCCCAAGTACTTTGTTAGCCTTGTTTCGAGTAAATACGCATTGTTGTCTTGGTTTAAGATTCCTACTTATCATTACTCCTAAATCTGTCTCACAGACGGATTTCTCTATAAATCAACGAAATTCATCTGATATCTGGTTCCTCTTTATACCTGTACATCTCCTTGACTAAGTACTTTGCATTTTCCACATTAAATTTCATTTGCCGATTTTCAAAACATGCGAAAAATTTGTTTAGATCATCCTGAAGTTTTGCGGAGTCCTCGTCAGATTTAATTACACGCCCTATTTTAGTGTCATCAGCAAATTTATTTATGTTGCTGTCTACGCCGATATCTATGTCGTTTATGTATATAATAAATAATAATGGTCCAAGTATTGAGCCTTGGGGTAGTCCACTTGTGACGTTACCCCAATCGGATTTAGTGCCGTTAATGCTTACTCGCTGTTTTCTGTCCTGTAACCACGCCCTAATCCAGTTTATAATATCTCCTTCAATGCCACGAGCCTCCACTTTACGTATTAGTCTTTCGTGGAGGATTCTGTCGAAGGCTTTGCTAAAGTCGAGGTAAACCACATCATAATCGTGCCCCTCGTCCACTGATTCTAAAACAGTTGAAAAGATTGTTAGTAGATTTGTTAGACAAGAACGCCCGCTTGTGAAGCCATGTTGGGAATCATTGATCAGCTTGTTCTTCTCGAGAAGATTTCGTATTGAGTTTGAACTATTGCTTCCAGTAATTTGCCTACAATTGATGTTAAACTGATTGGACAGTAGTTAGACGATAGTGATCTAACTCCCTTCTTGAAAACTGGTATCACATTCGCTATCCCCCAGAACTCTGGCACTACACCCGTTTGTAATGACATATTGAACAAGTTTGCTAAGGTCACATAAGTTGTTCCTTACATTCTTTTAATACTCTGGCAAATATCTCATCAGGACCTGGCGACTTATTAGGCTTTAGTTTATCTATTTATTTACTAACATCGTTACTAGTCACTACTATCTCACCTAGTCTATTTTCCTCACTATCTCTGTATATAGTCGGTGCCTCGGGTATCGTGTTTAAAATTTCCCGTTGTGAAAACCGATGAAAAATATGTGTTCAGAATGTTGCTCATTTCTCCCTTGTTATCAGTTAGCTCACCATAACCATCACAGGCACCACCACCACAACACCCTCCTAACACTGTACCGCTCACCACTCTAAACCTCTTCCCCTGGCAACTTAACTGAGCTACGAGGGAGCACACAACACACTCTTTTCCAATTGTCTGGTGGATTTTGGTGCAGGAAAGGATAAGACGCCTCCAGTGTGACCTTCAAGTGTGTCGTCCATTAAGAGTGGGAAAAAAAGGCAAAAAATATAAAATAAAAGGGAAAAGGGAAAAAAGTAAGTGTGAATGGCTCCCTTTCTTAAATATCTGCCGAGGATGTCTTTATTTTAATTGGTATTCAAGAGGTTATTTCCCACCCCACTTACATCATCCACCCCCACTCGCATCATCCACCCCCACTCACTCACTTCATCCACCCCCAGTCACTCACTTCATCCACCCCAGTCACTCACTTCATCCACCCCCACTCACACGCATCATCCACCCCCACTCACTGACATCATCCACCCCCCCACTCACTTCATCCACCCCAGTCCACCCCACACTTCATCCACCCCCCCACACGCTTCATCCACCCCTCCACCACCTGCTTCATCCACCCCCACTCACTCGCTTCATCCACCCCACCACTCGCTTCATCCACCCCACTCACTCGCTTCCATCCAGCCCACTCACCATTTCATCCAGCTCACTCACTCAGATCATCCACCCCACTCACCACTTCATCCACCCCACCACTTCACATCATCCACCCCACTCACCACATCATCCACCCCACTCACTTCATCAAACACCCCACTCTTCCGCCTTCTCTAGATATTTCAACAGACCAATCCCACTCACCTCACCCACCCACCTCACCCAACCCCACTCACCTCAACCACCCCACCACCACCCAACCCCACTCACCTCACCCAACCCCACTCACCTCACCCAACCCCACACTCACCCAACCCCCTCACCTCACCCAACCCCACTCACCTCACCCAACCCCACCACTCACCCACCCCACTCACTCACCCAACCCCACTCACTCACCTAACCCCATTCTCACCCACCCACCACCTCACCCAACCCCACACTCTCAACCACCCTCTTCACTGCTACCTTCTAAAAGTTCCTTCCATGAGAAAAACAAAATTTTTGACTTGAACTCTTTTTCTCCTCAAGAACCTGGTGAGTGTGTCTGCTCGGACCCTGGGGAACAGGAAAATGTACAATCCTGTTACTGAACCGCCACTAACTCACCTGGGGTCCTTTTTAAGGGGCGGGGCGGGGGGTCCTGTCTGGGGGATGGGAAGTGGGGGAGGTACTAGCTGAGAATGGGGTGGGGGTAGGTACTGTCTGGGAATGGGGATGGTGGGATGGGGGTAGGTACTGTCTGGGGATGGGAAGGGTGGGATGGGGGGTAGGTACTGTCTGGGGATGGGGACGGTGGGATGGGGGTAGGTACTGTCTGGGGATGGGGACGGTGGGATGGTTAGGTCCTGCCTTGGTAGGGGAAGGGGGGAAAACATGTTTGGGGGATGGAAAGGGTGGTGGAGAGGTCTTGCCTGGGGGATGGTAATGAACGAAGAGAAAAAATGGAACGGAGATAAAATAAAGAAAGGAAAAAGAAGAGAACAAGGAGAGAAAAAATAAAAATAAGGTAAAAACAAATAAAAGAGAAAAGGGAGAAAAAATAATGAAAAAAAAAATAGACAAACTAAAGAAGTGTAAAACAAATGGATAAAAATGGATATACAAAGCAAGATGATGAAATTTGAAATAAAAAAATAAGAATACGAAACTAAGAAACACAAATATAAAAATAATACAGGAAACAAGACATCCCGTGAAAGACAAAAATACGAATAAATTTAGAGGAAAAGGAAAAAAAGAATGAAATAAGAAAAAAATTAACGGACAAAATGAAGAAGAAAAAATAATCTAAACAAAATACAAAACTAAACATAAAATCCCTACAGTTTGTCTTGCAGAGTACAGCCACAGTACAGAGACATATCGACAGATGGCGCCAGTGAGTTAATGGTATCAAAGGAAAGAGCAACTGTGAGCTGATGTGATTCTGGAGGATATTAACGAAGGAGACTCGGCTGTATCCATCTTCGAGTCGTAGCTGAAGTGATTCAGCCAGTTTTACATCTCCCACTTAAGGTGTATCTAACGTAAGAATCATTGAGAATCCATGCTTGAGTCGTAGCTTAAGTGACACTCAAATACGTTCTAACAACTCCCACTTAAGGCGTATTTAACCTAAGATATTTTGAGAATCCATCCTTGAATCGTAGCTGAAGTGCGTTAGTTAGATACTTTCTTAATATAGTTAGTTAAGGAGACGTTTTAAGTTAAGAACCCGAGAATCCGCAGCGAGGTGACCACAGGTGACCAAAAAGGAACCCCAAGTGTATAAACAGAACTTCTCATAAATGAACCCCAGGTGTAAATCACGAGTGAAAAATTAACCCCTGATGTAAATCAAGTCATAAATGAACCTCAATTGGTAATCACAAATACAAATGTACCCCAGGTGTAAATTACAAGTCATAAATGAACCCCAGGTGTAAATTACAGGGCAAATAAACCCCAGGTGTAAATTACAAGACATAAATGAATACCAGGTGTAAATTACAAGTCATAAATGAACCTCGAGTATAAAAATCACAATCCCATAAGAGTGAGTAAACAAGACCAGGTATATATACTCACGATCATCACTGAGAACCTCAAGGGTGGCGGAGGCTCTGATGGTGTCACCGGCAGCGTTCTCCACCACACACTCGAACTCGTCCTTATTCCGCTGGTACTTGACGGGCTCAATCCTCAAGATGGAGCCACCGGGTACCTGGAGGACGATGAAACGCGAGCTGCCGGTGATCTTGCGGTTGTTCTTACGCCACTGGATCTTGGGCTCTGGGTTCCCCGTGGCGCGACAGGTGAAGGACGCCACGCGGTCACTCATTACGCGTTGGTCCCTCGGCCGCTCCTCGAAACGTGGCGGGTCTGTGTGGGGAAGAGACAAAATACAAGGTTAGGTGAGTTCTGTCTGTTTGGGGAGATAATCAACAGGTAGGTGTCTGTCTGTTTCATAAAGAACCTGAACAAGAGAGAACACATGGTAGCCATCGGTCGATATATCACACCATCTTCGCTCAGCTCGATGAACAAAATTTCTGTCGGTCACTGTAAATAACCGTATGACCACAGTAAACGGTTGTAAATCACTATAAAAACAATATAAATCTCTGCAAATCAATAAGAGTCACAGTATAACAATGTAAATTACAACCTGACAATGTAAATCGAAAGAGAACAATGAAAATAAATATAAAATATTGTACAATAATTAAATCACCGAAAAAGAATGTAAATCCACTTCAAATATTATAAATCACTGTATCAACAAGAAAAACTGTAAATCGTAATAAAATAATGCAAATTCCACTAAAATAATGTAAATCCCAGTAAAATAATGAAAATTACTGTCACTCAATATACATCAATATCAATAAATGCAAAATATCCCCATGATACAAAGACCTTCACTGTCCATCCCCACAAGGCTAATAATGATCACAAGACCTTATGTGTCCGCGGGGAGACCTGTCATACTTACGAGTGTTGAACTCAATGTACGGGAAGACCTCTTCTGGGGGGAGGCCTCCTGGAGCGTCGTCTTCCCCTCCTCCCGGATCTCCCTCAGCAGTACTGTTGACGGAACTCGAGTCCGACGTACTGGGAGCTGCACCAGCAGGAGGAAGATAACGAGGACGGGGTGTTGTAGCGTCACCCCACAAGGCAAGGATCCCACACTGTTTTCCTTCCTTCCTTTCCTAACCCTCCCTTCTGAATTTCTATACTATCATCTGGTTTTTTTCACATTATTATCAGGAATTATCACCATTTCTTTCATTTATTTTGTCAACAACGGTATGGTGATGCGAGGGATATGTTGGTACACTGTGGTTAATGTTCACTATTATATTATGTATTCCCCCATTCATTCTTTCCCTTGACTACCACTCACACAGACGCGGTAACAATTATTTTACTCTCAAACACCTTAGTATTATCCGTAAATTCCGTGCCATAACCACACCATAATAATTTCACTCCTGTAATAATAATAATAATAATAATAATAATAATAATAATAATAATAATAATAATACTAAGAGCCACCATACATGCATATATCATAATCATAACAATGGCACCATAACAACGCCATCATATCAACAACGCCTTCACTATAAACAAAGCCATTACCATAAGAGAGCCAATCATCCACTCCTATTAATGGTGTTGTTTTTCTCTGGCTATTTTGCTATTTTTGTCACTTCCTATTCTGTTTTATTACTAATTGTCTATTTTCGCCTATTAAGTGACTTTGCTGTGTGATTATTATCTATTTATATTATTTTCCAATCTCCTTCTTCTCTCTCCTCTTTTCTTTCCCCTTGTTATACTCCCCTTTCATCCCCCTCCCTCCTCTGAGTCCTACATGTTCCTCCTTCCATCTATCTTTCTCCCACCACCCTCACAATCCCCCTATCCTTCCCCTCCCCTACCCATCTACCTCCCCACCCCCTACCCATCTTCCTTCCCCCTCCCTTTCTATCTACCCATCTCCTCCCATCTACCTCTCTCTCCCCTCATCAATTCTCATCTACGCCCCATCCCTCCCCCTCTTCCCCAATTCTCTCCAAACTACCCTCTTCCTCCTCTCCAAAACTACTCTTCCTCCCTCTCCAACCATTTCTTCCCAATTCTCTCCAAACTACCTTTCTTCCTCCCTTCTCTAAACTACCTCTTCCTCCTCCAAACTACCACTCCCCCACAGTCACTACCCAGAAGGCTGCCTCATAACAATTTCTTTTTGTTTATTCAATTGAGGGCGAAACGTGGCAAGTTTTTCACCTCTCTTCTTGATACTATTATCCCTTTCCCCATTAACCTCTGATTTACCTCAAGCCACAGGTGGGGAGGCCAGCGTATGATCCTGTATGATCCTGGACGCTATTGTATGATTCTGGAAGCCGCTATATGATTCTGGAGGCCTAGTGTATGATTCTGGAAGCTGTGTATGATTATTGATTACCGAAGCCCGTTGTATGATTCCGGAGGCTATTATAAGGACCTGGAGGCCGAAGTATGATTCAGAAGGCCACTGGATACCGCCGCTGCAAGACCCTGGAGGTCGTCGTATGATTCAAGAGGCCATTACAAGACCCTGGAGTCCGTTTATAAGATCCTGGAGTCCGCTGCATGACCCTGGAGGCCGATGCATGACCCTGGAGTCCGCTGCATGACCCTGGAGTCCGCTGCATGACCCTGGAGGCCGATGCATGACCCTGGAGGCCGATGCATGACCTTGGGGGCCTCTATATGACCCTGGAGGCCACTGCATGACCATGGAGGCCGCTACATGACCTTGGAGGCCGTTGCATGATTCTCAGACACTTCGCCAGGAATAACCCTTAGGTCGATCACGAGGACTGAATTAACCCACCAGATAACTAAGGTGAAACTCAAGGTAACTCTCGGTAATTATCAGGTAAACCTTCACAGATAACTGAGGTAAACGTAAGGTAAACTCAAGGTAATTATCAGTAAACTCACAACAGAACTAAGACTAAGAGTCAAGGTAAACTTTGAAAATCATGGCGGGCAGGTGAAAGTCTACCGGGGGTAAACTCTTATTAAATTACTCGTAAACTTTGGGGTAAACTTCAAGGTGTATCCACTCACTCACACGCACGCACGCACGCACGCACGCACGCACGCACGCACGCACAATTCTTCCCTCAACCAACAGAAAGCCATCCATCCCACATATATCTTTCCCTTAACATCTTTCCCTTAACACTTTAACCCATCCAACGCAGCAGGAGGAAGAGAAGGGGGAGGAAGAGGGAGAAGAGGAGGATGGGAGGAAAATGAGGAGGAGGGGAGGAGTAGGGGAGGAAGAAGAAGAGGAGGAGGAGGAGGAGGAGGGGGAAGAGGAGGTAATTACCACAGCCACAATCACCAATCGTACCCAACCTGACACATTAAAGCCTCCCAAAACATAATACTTTCATCTGACCCAACACTGGAGGAGGAGGAGGAGGAAGATGTAATGGAGGAGGAGGGGAAGGAGGATGAGGAAGAGAAGAAGTAACACAGGAAGAGGAAGTAACGCAGGAGAAGGAGGAACGTATGAAGGAGAAAGGGGGGTAAGAGAAAGAGAGGGGAGGAAGGGGGACGTGGAGGACCAGGAGGAGGATGAGGAAGGGGAGGGGAGGAACAGCAGAAAGAGATAATGGAGGAGGAAGAGGTGGTGCAGGAGGAGAAGATGGTGCTGGTGAAGACGATGATGGTGTTGGAGGTAAAAGAGGAGGAGAAACAGCAAAATGAAGAGAAGGAGGAGGAGGAGGATGGGGGAGTAAGGAAGAGAAGAGGAGAAACAGCATGAGAAGAAGTAGTAGTAGTAGTAGTAGTAGTAGTAGTAGAATTTACAGGTGCCATTGCTCTAAGGTACGGTAGGCCAGTAGAAGGTTTGCCCTCCCAATGCGTGTGTGGCTCTTCCTATGACGTCGATCACGCCATGGTGTGCAAGAAAGAGGGCTTCATATGCATGAGGCATGACGAAGTAAGGGGGGATGTCATGGTAGAACCGACCCTCCTTCCATTGGACGGTGAGATTTTCCAACATAGGACTTCAAACACATCCAACGAAGCCTGTGTTGACGTCAGTGCTCGAGGATTCTGGACGCGGGGACAGCGAGCCTTCTTCGACATCAGGATTTTTGATCCCATGGCCGCATGTGACCGTAACTTAGCTCTCGATGCTGCACACAGGAGGAACGAGAACGACAAGAGAAGGGCATAAGAGGAGAGAATTCAGAACGTTGATCAAGGCAGCTTCACTCCCCTAGTGTTCACAACCTCTGGTGGGATGGGACCAAGTGCAAGATGCTTCTACGCCAGACTCGCGGAGGTGATCTCCAAACAGAAGCAGCAGCCCAGAAGTTATGTTACAGCCTGGATGAGATGTCGACTGTCCTTCTCTCTCCTTAGGTCGGCTTTGCTCTACCTCAGGGGAACGAGAGCATCGGCCCCAAAGCCGACAACAGTTGCAGATATTGACTATGAGGCAACAGTCACTGAATGCCGCATAGATCTGCGGCTCAACTAACTCAACACAGCTAGGATAGCTACTGTTGTATTAGGATATTTAATATTAAGGTAATAAAATGGTGGCGAAGGTGTGGCTATTGGGGGAGGCTGGAGGCCATTTAAATTTGTAAGCAGCAGTAGTAGTAGTAGTAGTAGTAGTAGTAGTAGTAGTAGTAGTAGTAGTAGTAGTAGTAGTAGTAGTAGTAGTAGTAGTAGAGGGAGAGGAGGAGGAGGTGGAGGAGAAGGAGGAGGAGGTAGGAGTGAAAAGGAGAGAGAAGGAGAAAGGAGAGAAGCAGGGGAGAAGGAGAGAAGCAGGAGAGAAGAGGAGGCATTTAACACCCAACAATATTTTGAGAACTCTTAATAAAAATTCCCTCCGTCAGCAGCAGGAGATCTAAAACTTGCAGGACGAAGCAGAAAACTCGTCGACTTCATATCCCGCACCTTTTTCCCGTTCCACCGTCCTGAGAGTCGCCCGCTGCGTACAATAAGGCCGCTCGTATGTCACCGACGCCGGACACGATGACGGAAAGACACCGGCTTCAGGGGAGGATGAGAGTGGGGAGTAGAGGGAGGGGGGGCGCTCCCTTCATTGCTGGCTCCCTATATCATCGCGTAGGAGTCCTTTAGGCGTCATAAACATTTAGGAGGGGAGGGGGGCGGGGAGGGGTGGGGAGGGCGTGGGGAGGGGTGGGGATGGGGAGAGGTGGGGGATGGGGAGAGGGGTGAGGAATCTTTCTTGGGTGGTATTTGGGAGCGCCTTCTTCATCATCATCTCTCTCCCCCCCCCTCTCTCTCCCTCTCAACTGTAATATTCTCTCAGATGAGGCCAAGAAGTGTTGAGGTTCTAGTCCAGTGCCTCTTGACCTCTTCATTTCTTGGCCTCTCAATCCTTCCCTCCCCCCTTCATTCCTTCCTTCCTACACACCATACTCATCTATTTACGTTCCTACCTACCTCACCTTCCGAGCAATCAAACTACGTCTCTTCCTTTCTCCCATTTCCCCCTCTTTCTTTTCCACGTCCCCGTTTCTTCTTCCTACTTTCTAGCCTCCTGCTCTTTCTTCTACCTTCTCTCCCTCCACTTGTTATCTTATTTACCTCCACTTCATTCTCCTCCTCTCTTTTTTCCTTTGTCTTCCCTTTCCATTCTTTCCTTCTACCTCCTCTTCCTTTCTTCCTCTCTCCTTTCCTCCAAGTTCATCGTCCCCTCCCAATCCTCTTTCCTCATATCCCAGGGCTCAACTCTTGAATCTGACGGCTGGAAGACCTGATTCCAGTCCTCCCCTGATCAAACCTACGACCCCGGCACGACTATTGAGACGACTTGACCCTGACCTGTCTCCTACGACCCCGGCACGACTATTGAGACGGCCTGACTCTGACCTGTCTCCTACGACCCCGGCACGACTATTGAGACGACCTGACTCTGACCTGTCTCCTACGACCCCGGCACGACCACGGAGAGGACCTGACCCTGACCTCTCTCCTACGACCTCGGCACGACTATTAAAACGATCAAATTCTAGAACCCTAAGACCTCCATAACCTGAACCCTGAGACTTCCAGAACCTGAACCCTGAAACCTCTAGAA